TAAGAATGATGAAGTCAACATATGTACTAAAGTGCTGGACACAGATGACGTATGTGCAGATTGTGATGAGTTGTATGAGCCCCTAATAAAATGATTATTAAAAAAAAAACAATGTGAAGCTTAAGGAAAACACTTCATACACTACAGCTCAACTCATTTTTATGTCACATATGATGCCATGCAATTCAATGTGACCCACCGGGATATGTTCTTTAAACTGCTATGGCAACCTAAGTTATGGAACTGTGACAGAAAAATTAAAACAAAGTGATCTTCAAATAACACAGGTTGCTAGAGACAATCATTTATCTTTAGAAACTAAATTTTGTCTTATTAAATCACAATAAGGCTGGTGCTTTGAAAATCAGAAGCAAAAATCAGTGCATTATTGGACTTCAACAGCTAATGTAATCTATAAATTAAAAACACACATAAGTAAATATGATCGTGAAAATGAAACTCAACTATGTGTGTGTACTATAAGAAAATAGCTAGATTACTGTATCCCCAAAGCCACAGGATCTATGAATGAACTAATGAACATATTCCTCAGGCTGACTTGAAATCCTGGGAAAAGAGAGGCTAGTGTGGGAGGGACATGGAATTGTGTCATTTCCTAACACGTGATAGAACTGTCATGAAAATAAGTGCAGATGTTAACTAGGTTTTGCGAATAGTTGGTGAGCTATTTAAAAGGTGAGCGGATGATATTTTAGAAAAAATGAATATGAATTCAGTTTGAATTTCAGGTGTCAGAAAAGCATGCACATGAGAGAATCACGCACGATCCAACAATCAGTGGGAAGAGCAAGCCTTGAGCTCTAGAAGAAATCACAGTTGAGGACAGAATCTCACATCCTGAGTTTTACGTAGGGCTGTGAAAGGAGAGAGCACGGAAGACTATAGGACTACAGACAGGACTGGTGAAACACTGAGAGATAAACAGAACAGGAGGAGGAAACAGGAATAGACAGAGAGGTAGAAGAGAACCCGCAGGAGTAGTCTGGACTCTTCTATAGGAAGCAATAGAAATTGAAACCGAGAGTACAAGGTGAAGCAAAAGGCAGCTGGTTGGTTAATAATGAGGGCATACAATGACGATTTTAAATTATAATCGATAAAGTGACATGTGAAAGAATTATGCACCCTCTGTTTTGTTCAAGGACTGAGATCAGGGATTCTGATTCTGTAAGTAAATTTCTTGATCACGTTGCGCTGTACCGAGGAGGGAAAGAACGAACAAGGACATCGTAGGTTCCTCTCAAACCCCTGTAGGTGTACAGCATGTATACATTCATTTGGGGACTCTGGTGGTGGTGTTTCCTATAAAATTGTCAGTTTGTAATAGAAAAGGATAAAAGTAACCTGAAAGATAGTCTCAAAAAGAACCGAACTGAGCCCCCTCATCTTTGGATAACTTCATTCTTGAAAAGAGAACTAGCCATAACAGAATTAAAAATAAATTAGGAGTTATAGTCTTAATAAGCAATAGAAATTTTTCTGAATGTGGTAACTTATGAGATAATGACTTTCCAAATGAAAACAAAAATCAACTGTGCAAAATTATTTTGGAGTTCAACTATACCTTTGAAACACTAACAAAATTGCTGTAATAACTGTAATTATATTTATCATACAAAACTTCCTGTCTTTGATTCCCTTTGATTCTCATTAAAGGCAATCTACTTGCTGATGGCCTGAGCATCAGAGTCCAGAGGCCTAAGTCTAGAATTAGACTCTGGCCCTTCAGTAGACCGCAAGGTTTTCATGTGTCAGTGGAACTACAAGACGGCTGATATCAGAGGGCTGGGTATAATTGACTCAACAGAAAAACTGATTAAAATTTTATTTAAAATGAAACCAATTCTTGAGACTTTCTTTGCCCCCAAACCCAGAAATAATGAGGTAAGGCTAGGCAACTTGGATCCATTAACTACATTAACTAAACCCTTCAACTATTCAGATTTAGAGAGCATATAAACCAGTCACACTTATTTCAGGCACAGAGCTCCCTTTGTTAAAACGAAATAATATTCAGAGCCCAATATGTAAAACAGATGAGAGTTGAGCTACTCTGCTTTAATGAGAGAACAGGTGGTAAAGAGGAGCAAGGTTCACAAAAGAAGTCATCCGTTTCCCTTAACTGCCGCCTTCTTTAGCAGCCTGGAGGGACTGCAAGAAACTAGACTAAATTCTGTGGTTTACAAATGGGGGAGAGTTTAGGTAAGTTAAGTGCCTTTTTCATGATCAAAGAGTTTATAATGCAAAAGCCAGGACAGTAGCTCAGGTCTCTTTTTTCATAGTAGTCAATAAAATTATAATACCACTACAAATATCATTAATAAAGAAAAATTTCCCAATAAAATCTTGGCCCACTCTCCTTTGAAGTAAGCTGCTTCATTATTTCCTCCATAATTTTTCTTCTCTCCCTTACAGTAGGATTCATGTTCCTTTTAAGAAATATGTAGCTTCGCCATCACTTGTTTACTTTCTGGTAAGTCTGTCTCTCCCATTACACAGTGCCTAGAAGCCATGCATCATTTAGTCTGCACTATACAATCCCTGGCATGGCCTCTGTTAATTGATGAAAAAATATTATTTTAAATATACAAAACTTGGAGTCATCAATGAAAATTATCTGCTTCTTCTACAAAACGAGTATATTATTTTCAGTTATTTCATTCATAATGTGATAAACTGTTTATAAAAAACCTTTTCTAATGCACTTGAATGCAGCTTGATAAATAATTCTCCTGAAAGTTAAGAATTACTAAGGCAAGAGATGGACATTAGTAAGTAAAATCTAGCTTAAAGGGACCATTCACTTAGAAATATGTGATTTCAAAAAGTCTCTACAGAATGTAAAATACCTGCATATTCTGGATAGCATATGGTAAGAGGGCTCTTTTTAATTTTTTCTTCAAAGAGATCCTTTTTGTTTAGGAAAAGTATGATAGAGGTGTCTGTAAACCATTTGTTGTTACATATGCTGTCGAACAGCTTCATGCTCTCATGCATTCGATTCTGTAAAAGAAAAAAGTACAACCAGCTTGTCATTAATAGCAATGGCCACGATAAATACTATGTCTAAAAAGTAGCAAGCATCCTAATAAAATTGAGTTTACTGATTTTAAAAATCAATGATATACCACATAAATATCTGCAATTTCAAAATAAATTTTGTTTGCTTTTAGGGAATGCAGGTATCTAATCGTTACTCATCCCTTTCTGCAATCAACTAGTACTGGCTGGGTGCCGGCCTACCATGTGCCATGCTCAAGCTTTCGAAATCTCCTTTCAGCACTTAACAATCTTGGGATGACCAATGTGAATACATATAAAAATGCATGGTTGTCATAGAGTTTACCTAACTTTACCTAAAAGTAAGCGTAGTATATTAAAGATTAATACTACATGTTTGGATCCAATTAGCCCCATAACCCTCCATGTAACGGTATATTGAGAAGCTCCTAGTTCCTGCCCTTCTGTGCCCGTGGTTTCAGGGTGAGCACTACTGCCTTTGATCCTGCCCAAATGAGCGAGGTGAACAATGGGGTAACCAAACCTACCACAGCGTAACTGTATATCACTAACTTTATAAATCAAGCTAACAACATTTCTCCTTGTCTTCCAAATTGCATTCCAATTAATTTAAAATGGCAACGTCTTAAATTATTCCTGAAAAGATTTCCCTCTGATTTAAGGTATGTTTACGCAAATCTGAAAATTACAGGGCAGTACCAAAGCACGCCATCTGTCAGAGCTGACAGAAGGAACAAGGAAACTGAGGCCGGCTCTCAGTCCTTTCCTGTTTCTCAGGATCCATCTGTGCTTCTCTGGCCTACATCCCTCTTAGCATGCAACAGAAAAGTTCCAGGAAAGAGCCGGAAGTGTCAACATCTTGGCCGGGGCTCCTGCGCCTTTGATTTCATACTCCATCCTTAAAAAACGGTTCTACTTGCCATTTCTTCATCCTCAGCTAGAACCAGGTCATAGTCACTAAGTGCTACACAGAAGATAATCGCCGTCACTCCTTCAAAGCAATGAATCCACTTCTTCCGCTCAGATCTCTGTCCTCCCACATCAAACATTCTGTAAGAGTCAAAACACTGAGTTGACATCACATGAACTGTGTTCAAAGGCTCTGCGCATTCCGGTAATGTCACCAAGAGAGCTCGAAAGAGCTGGGCGAATGTGGGATGAGAAGAAAAGGGAAAACGGAGAGACAGAGATACACACACAAATTGGTCTGGCGTCACAAGAAGGGTATAAAAAAGCCAGCTGTTGGGTTTTTGCTTTGTTTTATTTTTTTATTGGAGGAAACAATACACATGACTGGACTGCAAACTATGTGTAAACACTGAGAAATAATCACACCGCAACTAGGAAATGCAGAGATAATAGCGTCCATGCAATCTGCCAAAGTCATGGACATTGGCAGCAGAGCACATGGCCCCTCTTCCCACCGCAGAATGCTATTTTCTCTCAGAAGCAACGGGTGAGATTTTGATGTAAAGGAGAAGTCGCTGCAGGTGAGAAAACATGGGGCAAACAAGTCATATTCAGATGGAGCCTAAATAAAAGTAAAGCTTTAGTCTGGAGAAAAAGAAAGATGAAACAGGAAATTGGTAAGCTCTCTATTGAACGATCCTGAACAGAGTTATACACTCGGTGATTAGGCATTTTGCAATATGGGACCACTGTAGGTTAATGCACAGGGCAGCGGTCCATTCGAGATAATTTAATGGCTGTCTCTGTTTTTCTTACAAGAGCACAAAATTGAGTAAAAGTTGAAATTTGCAGACTATATTATGTAATCAAGAAATAACCACTTATATAACTGAAATAGCACTATACAAACTGGTGCACTTTTAAAGGCCCTATTTATCAAGAAAGTGCACTAATTAAAACAGTCCCTATTTAACTCTTGGGGAAAAAAAATTCCCTACAGAGTACCATTGTCCTATAAACCAAATCTGAGTACATTAACTAGTATTATTAATTTTATTGTCATTTAAGTGGCCTTCATTTTACTGCCTTAGCTAGTAAACTGTTCATTAAGTTTTAAGTATGCTATCAAAATAGGTAATATATTAAAAGGTCAGCTGGTAAAATAATGACCAAACAAGTCACACACACAAAAAAAAATTAAAATGGGTATTCATTTGTTCCATAGCTTATGACAATTCGAAAATAACTTTTTAAAAAATAACACATTTTGGTAACTTCTCTTCTCAAATATCACACATTAACCAGCCATGTTTTCCCTATTCTGCCTTTTTCTCCATAACATAGTATTATTATCTGATGTATTAAATCTATGTTTATTTCATTTCCTCCCTCCTAACCCAAGGCAGGGACTTGATTTCTATATGAGTCCCCGGGTGGAGCAAATAGCTTACTGACCAGTACTAACTGAAGCTACCCAGCTAGGCCTGGGAAATAAAGCCAGGTGATCTGTGTCCCCAAGGTCACAGCCTGTGGAGTGCCCCTCTTCTCCCTGCAGGGACCCATTCTGAGGTGAAATCAATCCGATGACAACTGACCTTGTTTTGTTTTTGTTCACTTTTTATTTACAACACTAGATGAATGAATGTGCCTAGAAAATATTTTAATGTACCCAGTTTCAAGCAAAATAGATTGCCTTTGATATTGCTGAAAATCACGATCTACCATTTATACTGTTAAATGTACAATAATCTTGCCTTGGTAATCAAGTAGTTCAACTGTGGAGGAAATGTCTTAAATTTATATTTTTATGAACTAAAATGAATGAGGCTCATTTATGTACTTGTCATAAACAAATACTCTGTAGTCTAATCTGGTTCATCAGAATCCATTTGGTAGGTGAAGCTGATGTTCTAATCCACAGTTGAGGGACAAAAATTATTAGAATGGGTCTACCGTATAAGACATGACAAAATAATAATAATTTATAAATTATCAGGGGTTTGTGAGGGAGAGGGGTGGGAGGGAGGGTAAAAATGAGGAGCTAATACCAAGGGCTCAAATAGAAAACAAATGTTTTGAGAACGATGAGGGCAACAAATGTACGAATGTGCTTGACACAATGGATATGTATGGATTGTGATAAGAATTGTACGAGACCCAAATAAAATGATTTAAAAAGAATTATACTGTTTAATAGTTTATTAGATGTTAGAGCGAGATAAAGAAAATAACCAGAACACTAATTTTACTATTGCTTCTATCTTCCCTGAAATACTAGATTAAAAGTATAGAACATTAGTCATTGTTTCACACATACATACATTAGAAATAGCTTACCTAGTTTAAATACTGTTGTTAAAACCTGCCTATATTATCTATATTAAAAAAAGAAAGAAAGAAAAATTACTATGCTTACCTTCTTAGAAATAGATGAAACTCTTGGCTAGCAGAAAATATGGAATACATTTGAATTTCCTTGGGATTCATTTGATTTACATAGGAAAGAAGATGTTAAAGCTACTGCAATATGCTGAGGTATCCTTAGACTGTCATCTAATATTATTTATGACAAAGACTGACGGGTACAAAGCTAATTGATCAAATATGGATTATCAACTCCCATAAAGAAATTATACCCTAACCAAAGATGTTGTACCCCAACCTATTATCCATTTATATACTTATTAAAAATATATAAGAAAACAAACAGCTGCCATCAAGTTGACTCCTACTCACCGCTTCTCCGCGTAGGGTTTCCAAGGCTCTATCTCTATGGGAACAACAAGCCTCATCCTTCTTCCCCAAAAGTGACTGGTTTGTTTGAACCCCCAACCCTGTGGTTAGCAGCCTGCCTGACCCACAGTGCCATCAAGGTTCTTGTCATACTTTTATAGAAAACATACATCTGTCATGTTACGATAATGATTATGTAAGTATACATGGAAAGAGGAGTTGCATTAACTACAGATATAGATTTAAAATCATGGTAAAATTAAAGTGTTTGTTCTTCACAAGATAACCCACATTGATACTGTCTACAAATGCCTTGTCAAGAGGTGAAATGTATGTTCTTAAATTATTATCACCCTATTGCCTCAGTTTGAGCTGTTAGTACTAAACACACACACACACACACACACACACACACACATTAAACTGGTAGTTTTATGTCAGCAGTTAAAAATCATACAAAGAATAAAATCACACAGAACTACAAAATATGAAACACAGCTTCATGTTCAATTATTCTAAATACATCTGTGCCCTAATTCATGTCAAGGTCACTTAACAAATAAAAAGAACAAAGCTGTAATTTGTGCAATGTAAGTTTGCAATGACAGTAATTTAATGGAATTCAGACCACAAAGAAGGCAGTTTATCTGAAGTGCCTGACAAACCTATGTTTCTCTTTATGCGAGCAGGAAAAAAGAAAAAAAAACAGAAATTCTACCCCACTCCAGGACCCCAAACAGACCAATGTAAGTCAACATCCTGGAAGGGTTATGGTGCAAGACGTTTACAGGAAACACTGGAATACTTGGATTGATGCTGAAATGATCATATTAGGAAACTGGCAAAGGACAAGACTGCAGTAGTCTGTATTAAGAATCTTAAAGCAGGTTTGTCCATTTACTTCACAGTGGAGTCTATATATTTCATCTTACCTCCTAATTGCAACTCCAGCCATGGTTAGAATAAGATATTACTAGAACAGAACAATAACTTAAATTTGCTTTAGGGCATGGTCTTTAAAAGAGGTAAACAAACAAGTGAAAAGCCCCATTTTAACACATATTGGCTTCAAAAAAACCCCAAACTTGCATTTCATGCATTGAATGGTCTTAATTATACAAATGAACATACACAGGTCTAACAAGATTGATGAGGTAAAACACAATAGGGGAGGAAATATTAGAGAACTAGATAATAATTATATGTTTCATCAGTGCTATACTGCACCCTGGATACATCACCCCTCTCCAACTGTCTTACAGGGGGGCTTTGGGCCTCCACTTTGTCAACATTCCTTCACATCAATTTGATTGCTTGTTTTTGAACTTCTAATACCTATTTCCATAAACACCTCACAATCACACAGGCTGGTATGCTTCTTGCATGTGGGCTTTGTTGCTTTCCTGCTAAATGGCCCCTTGTTTAACTTCAAGCCTTTAAGACCCCAGACAATATATTTTTTTTATAAGATCACTCAATACATGAGATCCAGGATAGGTACACCCTTCAGAAACAGTAATGGGAGTAAAAATTCCCTGAGGGTATGGGAAGAGAGGAGGAGGAAGGACAGGAAGGGGGAACCGATAGCAATGATGACTGTATAACCCCACTTCAGGGGAATGAATAACAGAACTGTAGGTGAACGAATACACTGGATATAGTAAGATAATGGCAAATAAAATAATAATAATAATATATAATATAATAATGATTCCTGGGGGTTAGGGTGGCAGTAGGAAGGAATAAAGGCAATCTAATATCAAAGAGTTCAAAAGAAAGAAAATGTTTTGAAATTGATGGTGTCAGCAATTGTACAGCTATGCTTGATCTAATTGAATTATGGATTGTTATAATATCTGTAAGGCTCCCAATAAAATGATTTAAAAAACAAACTAAATCAAAAGCAAGAGCAAAAAGATTATTTTGAATACTAAACTTTTAAATTATAATCATTTCATAGTTTCAAGGTACTATGACAATAATCTCCATCTAAGTTGTATCACTTCAAAAGTCCTATTTTAAATTTGTTCACTTGGTATTTCAGAAGCAGTGATCAGACTAAAAGATGATAAAGATGATGAGTGATTTTAATAATGGAAAATGGTAGCAGTGGGAAAAAAAGCAGTTTAGAAAACAGAGAACACAAGGAGAAGAAAAAAGTAGCCAATGCAAAGCTGTGTCATATAAGAAAGCAGAAAGTTACATGGTCAGATAAACAAATTACAATCTATAGCTCCATTTGGAAAAGTGAGAAATGCCTTTTTTTCTTTTTTAGTTTGAAGGGTTTTGGAAAGGAAAATATCCATGAAAATAACTGAAAGCAAATGTTAGTTTCTGGAAAATTCAATTACATCAATCACCCAGGTGGAAACACTTAGTGAGCAATGATAGTAACAAATGCATTTTACGTAAAATATTTATAGGGAAGAAATCAGAGATATAGCTGCATTTATTTAACTGTACTGCTCACAACTGGCAACAGGTAGTTTCTTTATATGGTTACCTCAGGACTAATTTTTTTTATCTTTGACTAGAATATTTTCTTAAAAATGCTATTACAACTGTGTGATATTTTATTTTACAATTTCAAAGCATTAGCCTTCACTGAGGAAGAGTATTTTTCAAAGTGGGCACTACTGCTGGAATAATCCAGCGGGGCTGCAAAAGCAGGTGTCTACTCTTTATCCGGGATTCTGGGCTGTACTACAAATTGTTATACTTACCAGGAATCGCTGACTATTTTTTCTTTTTCGGGAAAGTGAGCAGCAGATCAAATAAACGTAGGGTCCTAAGGTCTAATCTATGTTGGTATTAGATCTTTGTCGGATCGATTCTGACTGACAGGCACCCTATCTCAAGCTCAGTGAAGCTCTGTTCAATGCCGAGCTATCCTCCCAGTGTGGTTACGTTTGATCCCGTGTCACTCGGAAACACTGTGTCAATCCATTTCTCTGAGTGCCTTCCCGTTTTCACTGGCCATTGGACTTTCCCACGTATGACGCCCTTTCCCAGGAACAGGTTCCTCCGATATCATGTCCAAAGTGCAGGAGATACACTCTCGCCATCCTCCCTTTTAAGGAGCATGCTGGCGGTACTTTTTCTGACAGATTTGTTTGTTCTTCTTGCAATTTGTTGTATATTCGATATTGTTCCCTAACATAACTGAGATGCATCAACCCCCTCTCTAACTCACTTTCGTTGCCATCAAGTTGATTCCAACTCACTGTGACCTTATAGGACGAGGTAGAATATCCTGTGGGTGTCTGAGACTAATTCTTTACAGAAGTGGAAAGCCACATGTTTCTCCCATGTAGCAGCTGGTGGATTTGAACTGATGATCTTTTAAGTAGCTGTGGAACCAGTAACCACTATGCCTCCAGCATTCCTTTCTCTAGATATCCTAACTCACTGTTCAGCTTTCACATGTACATGAAGTGACAAAATAGTCTAACCCATATTGCATGTTAAAGCCAGATGTCAATTTTTAAAAATCATTAAGTAAAGCAATAAAGGAAAAATAATTTTAATAGAGATATGGTATATACCAAATAAAAATAAAAAATTTTAATAAACTTTGTATAGGTTAACAGTTTGCTGTTTTACTAGTTTTTCAAAAATATTGCATACACATATGCACATGCATGTGCATGCACACACACATTAAAAAAAACAAAAAACCAAACCTATTGCCATGGAGTTGATTTTGGCTCACAGTGACCCTGTGAGGTTTCTGAGATGACAGTACACCTTTATAAGGGCAGACAGACTCATCTTTCTCCCGCAGAGTGGCTGGTGGGTGGTCTGAACCAACACGAACCCACAGTGCCACCAGGGCTCCTGATACTTATAATTCTCTATTTCCTTTCTGCAGGGATGGTTCTGCAGATAAATATACAGTCTTGTAAAATGTGAAATTCTATAGTGAACCTGAAAACTTCAACCAGAATGTGGCAAAATAGAGTTAACAGATGATTTATCTAAGTCTTCACAATATTAGGAACATCACAACAGATAAACATGGAGTGTAAACATTATGAAAGCTTTTATAAAATACACATAGTAAAAAAAAAATACACATAGTAAGTATCTTTGTTAATCCAAATGAAGTTTTCTGCAGAGACAACGGGAGTTTGGTTCATTTGAGTCAACATTATACAGCTCTACAGGTACGGGATTGCATCTAAATGACTTAAATGCTTACAGCTGTACCTTTCTAAAAATGAACCTCAACCTAGTTGTATTACAATATATATACACAAATAGATATATATCCAAGAATATTATTTAATAATAAGCAAATTTTTATTGGCCTGGATGATATGATCTCTGATGGTTCTGTAAAGTAGGCACTGCCCTCAGTAGACTTTTTTTTCTGTGTCCCTTCTGATTGAAAGATAACAGGCACCAAGAAAATGCCACATTTAAGTAAATGCCAATTAAGGGGAGATAGCAGTTTTAAAAGGTTACCTCTGTAAACCCTTTCACTTAGCTTCAATATTCTAAAACATGGAATTATAATGAAGGAAAAGGGAAATATTTATTTTTAATCAGTACTTTACAAGATCTAGTTACCCTATAGGGTTATAAAATTTCTAAGAAAATGAGTAAGTTTGTCTCAGTAGAATACTTCATGATGTTAAATTACTTTAGTCATGTATATATTCTTACATGGGTTATATACCCCCTTTTCCATGATTTCATTGTTATGGTTTTAGCGAGAATAAAATGGAGATGGTGAACAATATATGTACAGTAGGATAACTAAGTGAAATACTTAGTAGAGAAAGTCAAGCTGACTGGTTCACTGTAAAATGTGGGGATCTTAGGTGCCTCTCATTTCTGAGAGATACAATTCACTATTTCTGTTAAGACTCTACTCAGTAAATAGCACACACATTTTACAGTGACTATTTGTCATTATGAGAGAGTGAAAACATCCATTTGTGATGAATAAGCATTTTATATGACATTTTTAAAAGGTGTTCTTTTTAATATGTTCATAAGTACTCACATATTCTATTAGTAAAGCTTTATCTCTTTACCTAAAAATGAATGACAATACTTGCCTAAAATAAGATTTTCCTTTAAAAATAAACTCCTCCATTTTTGTTCTTTAAACAAAACATTCTTTTGTCCAGCCTTCTCAATTTTAAAATTAATTTTCCAACTACAACATTTTTTGAAAAACTTTTATTACTATACTTGTTTCTAAAGCAGTGTATTTTAAACCTAAATTTGCAAGCCATCCATTTTGCAGTTACTCACTTGAAATGGAGATCTTTGAAGGTGAAATGGGTTTCAACAATCCCTGTGGTCTTCACTCTGGTTCGCAGAACATCCTGTTGAGTTGGGATATAATTTGGTTGTGCTATTCTGTCCAAGTCATTCAAATAGCTGAGAAGATAAAGAAAAAACAAATCAAAAGCATGCTAATAGCTAAGATGATCTGAACCAAATAAAACACATTTTGAAATATGTAATATTCTAATTTACTGTATATACTCAAGTATAAACCAAGTTTTTCAGCACATTTTTTATGCCTTTTCCCCCCCTGGCTCACTCCCCTTTTTATGCCGTTTTTGTGGTAAAATTAGGTGCCTCGGTGGATATTTGGGTTGGCTTATACTCGAGTATATATGGTAATACTTTTTAAATTTCTGTAATGATACAATACATTCCATTTAAACCTATACAAGTATTTTACAATTCTCCCAGCCTTTCCCCCCCTATGTTTTGTTTCTTAGAGATGATTGGTAACTTTTCTTTAGAAATAATAATTTAATAAATACTCATTGCAATACATTTTCTGCATTTAGAAGTGTCTTTAAGAGTTGTTTCTTAAAATTTTTATTAAACTCTTTTGCTCTAGATTTGTGCTGATGCTCCAAAATTCCTGTTGTGTGAGGATTAAAATAGCTTTTCATTTTTGAGCATATACCAGTGGAGCTTCCTGGCATCAAATTGATGCCAGTCTCTAAGGCCTGTCATTCTCTCTCAAGGGAAAAAAAAAAGGGTTTTAGAATTTCTAACCCTGCAGATCAGTCAAATGTGTAACCACAACACCATAAGGTCTCCTGTGTGTATAGTCAGGGATGTCAATAACAAATTGAAAGGTGGGATAAAGAGAGAAGCCCTAGGCTATCGTGCAGCCAAGGGCAGCAGAAAAACAGTACAGAGGCTGGGAGAGTCACGCCTTATTTCCACAGCCAACAGAATTATTTTTTTTCAAAGCTATGCATTAAATTTTTTTTTTTTACAAAAACAACTTTATCTCTTTCAAAGTACTCAAAGTACACTTAATACATTTGTCAAATCTGCGATTCCATTCTTGGAAACATTTTTCAAACTCATCAGTTTGGATGGTAGACAGCCCCTTCCTCATTCTTTTTTCTTCACCTCTTCTACATCAGAAAATCACTGATCTTTCATTTTCCTCTGCACTAGCAGAAACAAAAAGAAGTTGCATAGCGTGAGGTCAGGTGAATAAGGTGTGTGGCGCAAGAGAGGCATGCTGTGTTTTGCCCCAAACTGGCGCACTGAGATGGCTATGAGAACAGGTACATTGTTGTGGTAAGACCAGTCCCTCATCTGCCACAAATCAGGCTTTTTTTTGTCATACACTGTTATGCTAGGGTTTCTTAATACTGGTGGTGTACTTCTTCCATGTGGACTTTGTTGCTTCCCCGCTTGATGGACACTTGTTTGACCACACACCTTTAAAACAACAGACACTATATTTTTTAATAGCTGGGCACCATCAGCTTTCTTCACCACTTTTGTTTAAGCACCTATTTTGTCTTCAGTGATCGTGTTGGGTAGGTGAGTATTGTACAGTGCCACATTATTCGAACAAAGCACTTGTGTGCTTAGGTGAGGTTTTAGTAGAGACCAAAAGTCCATCTGTTTCCTGTTTTATTTAAAATATATGCACATGTATAGAAAAATAAATGTATAATGATATATATACATACTTATATATCTGTATTTAATCTATGCATATAAACTTTTGATATATCCTTCTTTCCTCTTTTTTTTCCCCTCCTACCCCACTATCATAGTTACCCAATGTTTACCTCTCAGTAATTCCTCTTAAGCACTTTTCAAATCATCAAACACATTCTTATCATTGTCCATTTTAAAACCCTTGCTCTTCCCTTGTCCCTGTCATTGTTGGCTTACCATTCCCTGCCCCTACTTCCTCCCCTCTTATGTCCCTCCACCCAACACCCCCCCACCCACCCCCAGCCCCACCCCGAACCATTGGTCCTGTTGCTCTCTCCATTGGGTTGCTTATCCTGACTGTCTGATATAGGTAGACATATCTATCCTCTTAAACTGTTTCATAGCCACATCAGCAATCAGAACAGAGTCTGGCAAACAAAAGGAGCCTAATAAATAACCATTTGTTGGAAACTAAAAACACTATCTAAACACTGAATTTCTTAATAAGAAATGTAAATGATGGATTAGCAACTAGAAACATTTTAAACTGTTAAGTTACATAGTGCTAAAAATACATAGGTAAAAGCTTGTTCCATTTTTGATTGTTTTTATTGCATAAAAAGAATGTTACTACTTTTGAGTTTTTTGCATTGACAATAACCAATATGCACTCTATCCATGTTTCATAACCTTATTCCTCACTGTAAGAAAATCTGAGTTAAATAGACAAATAGAAAAAACATAGGCCATTGAAAGTTTTCACTACTTCTCTTTAAAATAGAGCTATTTCGGTTGAAAATCTATTAATTGGTGATACAGGTATTTTTGGGGGGGGGGTTGCTTAACACTCATATAGTTTGAATGATGAGATGTCATTGAGTCAATTCCAACTAATCCCTAGTCAGTAGAAAAGAGTAGAACTGCCCCGTACTGCTTCCTAGGCTGAAATCTTAATAGGAGCAGACCACCAAGTCTTCTCTGCCATGGAGTCATTGGTGAGTGGCAAGCCTCAATCAGCAGCTTAACCAAGGGTTAAAAAACTAGGGTTTCTTAACACTCTAATAGGCTCTTAGAAACTGTACAATTCTATTGCCAAAGGACAAAAATTTAGAATTGTGATTAGGCAGTGTTAGTGAGCAGTTTGTCGACATCCCTCTAAACCTGGTGAAGAACTAAAACATCAATATCTCCTCTAACCATTGTGGGGAAGACATTTTTTATCATTTCTTTAATTCTTAAAAAAAAAGGCTGGTTAGGACAAGGAGAAATAAGATAATCGGGAGTCAAGGGAACAGTTTTCCTCAATGGGTATACCAGTAAAGAATAAATGGAGAGAAGAACCTCACCAATAGACTGAGCTCGTTCCCCACCCCCCACCCCGGTATAAAAAGAACTGTTATGTTAGGTTCCTTCACATGGATTCTGATTCATAGGGACCGTATGAGTAGAATTGTCCCATAGGGTTTTCTTGGCTGTAATCTTTGTGGAAGCAGCTCATAAGGTCTTTTTCCCACAGAGCCGTTAGACGTTCTGTTGGGCCAAATGCTTAGCTGGTGCACCATCAGGACTCCTTAGAAAGCACAAGTTCAAATTCATTGTCATCAAGTCTATTCCAACTCATAAAAACCCTGTAATAGGACCAAGTGAACTGCTTCTTGGAGTTTCCAAGAACTTAAATCTTTACAGGAACATACAGCCTCACTTTCTCCCTTTCAGCAGCTGGTGGGTTCAAACCACTCACCTTGTGGTTAGCAGCTCAATGCATAATGACCCACTACACAACCAGAGTTTCTGTAAAGAGCAATCTGTATAAGGAAGGCTCTCATTTTGATTTTTCTGCAGGTATTAGCCTTGCAACAACAAATATTATGATGTGTGAGTCATTCATGCTGGAAATAAATGTTCTAATTTATTTTGTAGCCTCTGTGAAGCTTGGGTTGTTTACTCAAGCTTGGCTGCGATTTTAAGCACTGGAGATGCGACATTAACAACATAAAAACTCAATGCCAAAACTACTGCCACAGAGTCAATTCTTACTCATCATGACTCTGCAGGATGTCCAAGTCTGCAAATCTTTAGGGAAGAAGAGAACCTCATATATTTACTATGGAGAGGCAGTGGGTTTGAACTGTTGACTTTGGAATTAGCAGCCCAATACCTTAATTTACAGTATAGTGAGAGTCAGAAAAGAGTTAACTGAACTAAAACAACATCAAAATAAATGTGAGTCTGTGACTGTTTATAAATGAAAATTACATTGGGCTCTCAGTACACAACACAAGGAGGCAGGAAGCAACTCAATCGGACAAGGGGAAGTTCCTTGTCGAAGTGCTGACTAGTCGAGAGCACTACAGGATAATAAAAAAATTGCAGTAGCTCATGAAAAGATGCAAGTGATTCACTGTAGTAAATCATTCACATACTTGGCCATGTAATAAAAGAGCTGCTAAAAGGCAGTCTGTCCTCAGGAGCCATTTGTTGCCTTTTGTTCATGTGGCACAGTACACGCACGTATCTAGACTTTCTAGTATCTGTCAGTTTTTACCTAATAGACACTTGGGTCCCAAGAGGCCAGAGCCCAAGAGGCTAGAACGTTCTTGGAGAGTAAAACAAGCACATAGAACATATTTCAAAAGATTGACTGATGCTACCCACTCCATATTTCCTATTTGACTTGAGTATGGGTGCTAAATTATTGTAGCAAATACTTGATTTTAAAACTTTAATGGGAAACATTAGGTAGAGGAAGTATATCACAATTTGCTTTGCAAATTTCATAGGGCTACTGCCTAGAAAACCCAGGCAGATTTTTCTTCCAACAACTCCATTAGTATCTGTATATAGTGTCTGATGCAATAGGGAAACTGACATAGACACTTTTAAGTATGCAACTATTTGACTCAGGGGATGAAAATTCGTGGACTGCCATACACTTTCAAAAAGAAAACTCTCTATTCAACATAGCTTTCAAAGGGACTTGTCTGATGTATCTTTACTAGCAAAATAACAGGTTCCCTATTTGTCTGCCCCCAGGCAAAACACCTATATACCCAAATTCCCAGTGAACATTGAAAAGTGACAATTATTTTTCAAAACATATTGGAAAGAGTCCCATTCTGCATGTTTCAATTAGAATTACCTAACCCTGAGTCCCTGAAGACACCTCTAAACACAAAGGAAATAAAGCACAGCTATCTACACACACATGCACACCCAGAGGAGAGAGGCTTTTAAGTACCATCTCCCTAACTATCTTGAGTTGTACAAGAGTGCGTTGGCCAATACAGCAACAAAACCATCTTGGAAGTGTAGTTGAACTGCAAGTGCTCATTCAAGGTAGTTAGCTGCGACGGGATGATAACTTACTAGGCCGCGGAATCATTGAGCTGGTACTCTCGGGATCTGTTGAAACAGGCTTGGACCCCGCTGTCTTTCCACAATCGCTTGATAACACCAGCAAGTTCTGTAGTCATGAAGCCCTCTTCCGCCGCACCAGCAAGCACAAAGAGTTGGCGGGCATCGTCCTACACAAATACAAAGGGAAGTTACAGATTTTTAAAACATGAACACGCAAAGCATTACAATATGAATTTTCCTCCCCCCACCCCCAAAAGAGTGTAGTTAAAGTCCTAGTTGTGTTAGCAAACATTTTGTGTTAGCACTATCCAGCAAGGCACTATGAAGCTGCGGGAGAGTGACTGCAATTCTACTTTATGAATGGATGTATCAAAAAATCCTCTTTCTATTGTATGCTGTGAACTGAAGAGGGTCATTTTTGAGAAAACAAAACAGCCAATATCTTCCCCCACCTAAAAAGATCCTACCACTCTTAGAATTTATATGCAAATACAAGGAAATTAAGGGCACATATGCTTTAGAACCGTAGGCTATGTTCAGAGAACAATCAGTGAAGAGTAAGAAAGAACAGGGTCACAAAATGGTCTGGGAGTTTCTGGAGACTTTGAAGTATGCCTAAGTCAACACCTGTCAGCCAGATGTGGCTGTGTTGCTGCTGGGTGCTGTCAAGTCCATTGTAACTCACAGTGATCCCATGTGGCAGAACAGCGCAGCACGAGAGCTTTGTCTGGACTGTCATCTTTACAGAACTGCAGTTCTCAACCTGTGGGTTGCGACCCCTTTGGGGGTGGAATGACCTTTCACAGGGGTCACCCGATTCATAACAGTAGCAAAATTACAGTGATGAAGTAGCAATGAAAATAATGTTATGGTTGGTTGGGGGGGGGGGTGGGTCACCACAACATGAGGAACTGTATATAAGGGTTGTGGCATGAGGAAGGTTGAGAGCCACTGTTATGGTTGGATACCACCAAGTCTTTCTCCCAGGAAGCTCCCCCTGCCAGTCCTTTGATTAGAAGTCAAGCACGCAGGACTGCACCACCAGGGCTCGTTGGCAAGGGCTTAGAATGGGTATTTGCTCGCCCAGGCACAAGAAACAAAAATAAGCTCAACTTTCTAGTAAAAATACCCATAGTTACAAGATGATATCATGGAAACAGTTTTAAGTGAAAGAATGATGTACACTAGCTTAATAAAATTTAAATTTTGAGGAGGCAAATATTTGTAATTATTCTCATCCATAAGTAAACAACCGCTCGAGGTCATTATAATCTAATGGAAATATAATGTGAGCCACATGAGAACCTTATGTGAAATTCTAAACTTAATAACAGCTTAATTTTTTTTAAAAAACAGGTAAAACAGGCAACAAAAATTTTAGCAAAATGTTCTTAAGCGTTATATCAAATGTATTATCATTCCAACAAGCGTTCAACATGAAAACCAATGCAATATTTCGAACATGTGTTGATCTAGAAAACTGGTGTGTATCCCGTAGTAACACGTTGATAGTGCAGCTCCTTGCAGTGAGGTGAAATTACTCAGTGTGATCCCTTCATCCAGAGTCTGTAATTGCCACCAAATGACTCAGTGGGAGCAGGGAAATAAGGTGTAGAGGACTCTAAAGAGGGAAGTGGTCAGTTTTGCTAGTGCTCTGGTTTTAAGTAAGCTATCTCCTAAACAGGAAGGGAGATAATCCTAGGGGCACTACGAATTAAAAGCTATGGGTGAAGAATGTCCAATATTCCCGTGTGGAGAGGCAGCAGAGGAGCAACGCTGAGACCATGAAACAGCGCAGAAGAGCGGTGCTGAAACTGCGAGACCGAGCAGCAGGCTTCCTGGCCACAAAACAAGTAAAGCCGAGGGCTTTGCAGGGGAGGCCTGGGGGCTGCCCGTGGCTGAGAGGCTGAGGAATGGACTTCTAAAGAGATGCGCCTGTTGGCATGCCCCAGAAGAGTTGTGCTGGACAAAAGAAGTGCATCCTTAATGTGTTCTGACCTTGACTTGTAACCTGTTAACTTCCTAATCAATCCACATAATCATGAGTATTGTCTGGGAGCCCTGTGTGGCCATTGCAATGGATTCTCAAACCCAGCAGCGAAGTAGGCTGGTGCTGGAGGGATGACTGATGATGGAGACATATGGAAGGTGGAGGGAGGCATGGCTGACCTCTGCCTCACAGAAATCATCCTTGGGCAGATGAGGAACTGGACTCTCCTTCCCTCTAATGAAGCTAGAGATTATGCACGGTCCCCGTGCACTTTCCTCACTACTGTACTGAAGAGTATGTTGCTTATTGGCCCAGTTGTGAGCATTTTTGTTTTCATAATGTGAGGTGTCCTGATGTGCTAGACTGTATATTGGGAGCCCTGGTGGTGCAGAGGTTACACTTTAGGCTGTAATCTGCATGGTTGGCAGTGTGAAACCCGCAGCAGCTCCGCCTGAAACACGGGGCTTTCTGAAACTCCTGTGAACAGTGACAGTCTCTGACAGCCAGAGGGGGTCACTGTGAGTTAACATTGACTCAGTGGCAGTGAGTTGAGTCTGAGGAGTATAGTCTTTGTTCTCCAGAATGAAGTGCTTCAAGTAAGCCAGGTGGTATCTTCAATATACTGAAGACTGTTCATGAATCTCCCTCCAATTTTAGTGCCATGTTCTTCTTCACATAGTCCAGCTTCTCAGATTATTTGCTCAGCATACGAAGAGAAAAAGAATGGTCAAAGAATACAATCCTGACCTACTCCTTTACTGATTGTAATGTAACTACACAACATCCCTTGGTCGGTTCAAGTGACTGTTACTTGACTCATTATAAGTCTGAGAGAGCACAAAGTAGTGTTGTGTAATTCCCATTCTCTGCAATGTTATACATGATTTTCCATGCACCATACAGATGAATTCCTTTGTATAATCAATAAAATGCAACCACATACTTTTTGGGTATTCTCTTTCAGCCACAGTTCATCTAATATTAACAGTAATATCCTGCATTCCACATCTTCTAAATCCTACTTGAATTTCTGGCTCTGATAGCAAGGCTATTCACATTCCTCAAAGATGGGGAATTCACTGGAGGCTTAGTCCCTGTGGGGACTCTGCAAATGGATTTGGATCTCCCACTGGTGATCACAGCCTTCTGCAAACGGAGTGTTCAGATTTTAAGCTCTGATACGATTCCCCCTTCAGAGTTAGCTTTATCCTTACAATCCTTGGATCACACAGGCGGGCATACTTCTTCCATGTGGACTTAGTTAACCCCCTCACTAAGATGGCTGCTTGTTTTAAGACAAGCCTTTAAGACTCCAGAAGCAATTCTTTCTGAAATATGGGCACAATCTTTTCTTTTCTTTTTTTCACCACAATTTTCTAAGCACCGAGATCTTCAGTAAGCTATTCATGAGGGAAAGTTCTGAGGAGGATCATGTCATAAAAATTAATTGTTCTTTGATGGAGTCTAGAATTAAGTGTGAGACCCATATTCCTTCATATGTATATGGTCTATATATGGCTCTGGTTCACTTTAGAAACATCATTATCATTTTATGAGAGAAAACAATATAAATCATCTCCCTCGGGCATAATTTAGCAAATGTTATAGAATTTAAAACACTGTTGAGAAAATGAAATTCTATATATATAGGCCAGTTTTTTAGATCAAAATGAACTGTGGACTTACGGTATATAGATTAAATGCTTACTGGTTACTACTTACACAAACAATCATGGTGACTGTTAAAGCCAAACTTCCAATAACAGTCATTCAAAGAGAAAGAACCATGCTTACAAGACTAATACATGCCAAGAGAGCATTAAAATAAAAAATAACATGGTGGTCCCAGGACATAATTCATTGGATACCCACTAGCAAGAGATCTGAACCAAAGTCCAGTAACCACCAATTCCATAACCTTGGGCTAGAAGGCATCTGCTTCTTCTCACACTAGGGCATTTCAGGCTTAAGTCCAAAGAAGTATGTCAGTAGTCCCATAAATCTGCAACAGGCGAGTTTGAGGCAAAAGCCAATGTGTTTATCAGGCTCTCCATCTGGAATCTTGTGGGTGTGGCCGATGAAGGATGTAGTGCGTCCCTAAAGCACGGAGTCTAAAGTTCCAGCGGTCTAGAGCACAAGGCCTGGATCACCAAGAGCTGGGTAGAAACTAGGTTGAAATGTCTGATTAGGAACACAGCATTGGGTGCATTCTCCTCTTGGGGTTTATGTAAGAATTGTAAAGTAGTGTTTCCCATAGGAGGTTGCTTCAACAGGTTTACCAACCAACAGAGTATTATGCCTTCTCTAAGACATACATGCCCTACCCCCAATCCTGATTTGAATTTCCTGTAAGGTTCACTTATCACTCTTCAAGGAGTGTTGCTTTGGGGTGGTGTTAGCACGATATTATATGGCAGCAACAGAATGGTCTTCTCCCACTTCCCCCACCATGAGAAACTGATCCCAGCTAAGGATAAGTCTCCTCTGTCAAAGTGGTTTTTAAGATGTGCATATAAAGGGGGCGATAGAGACACCTGGCAGGTATCTACCTCTTTGACGGGGAGACTGGTTCAGAAGATTGTGTGATCTGAGAGCAGAAGCCTGCCTTTGTCTTGGTGTTTGTTCTTGTGTTTCCACCCTATTTCCAAACCAATATTGCCACAGAAATAAAATTGTACAAAGCATAAATCTGCTATTTATTAACTAGCAGAGTTAATATAAAAATGTCAGTTGTTATAAATCTACGCCATCAAGTTAATTATAGGACAGAGCAAAACTGTCCATAGGTTTCCAAACGTGTCATCTTTCATTTCTACCATTAACTTGTGCAAACAGGTAGCAGTTTGTTGGCAGGACAGTGCTACACGTAGGACGCCTGGAGCGGGACAGCTCTAAGTGAAGCACTGCGTACCACCGACCCAAAAGCCCGTACACCATGCTGCCCTAGGTCCACAGTCGAAACATAGTTGTGTAAATTATAGACACGGGGTCCACAGATGAGCTTCCACATTCTAAGAACATTCTGAAAGAATATCCGGGACAAAATTGTCTCGCTCTCTGTCAGCCTTTAAAGGAATTTGGTTTCCTCTCATTTTAAACAGCTAATGTTCAATCTCCTGGGAAAATCTGGTAAGTGACAAGTATTAGGCAAAGCAAAGCAAGTTATTCACCATCTTTAACATGTTTATATCTTCTTAGCAAATTCTCACCAATTAATCTGTGTAGTGAATGGAAACCAAGTCGAAATACTAAAGGGTCATTTTTGTTTATTTTGCATTGTAACAAAGATGAGAAAAAAAGTAGGGCAATTCTCAAGATCATCTGGAATAGAAATGCATAATTGCCTTCGTATTTTGGATAGCTGAATAATAACAAGTGGATGAGTGATTTCACTCTAATGCTAACAATTAATGTTATTAAGCAACAGGAACTAAACATAATTTTTATAATAATACACAGTTGTCAAAATAAAAATGTCCCCTCCACTTGCTGTCCAGGCTAACGAAATTTCCATGAGAAAAATGATCATGTTTAATTCATCTTTATATTCTTTAGCACAATTCCAAGAAGTTGTTAGCATTTTAATAATTGTGTATAGGTAAGGCAACACAAAGCATGGATTAGACCAATCTAAAGTAATATGCAATTATGAGACCTTTGGATAAAGGAGTTACTGAAGATGGCTAAATCAAAACCAAGAAGCATGGGCTGAAGGTGACAAGAAACAGCTAATGAATCTAAACGTCACTGGCCAAACTTAGCCTAGTAAAATGAAACAAGACCAAAGCAGACTTAGGTGTTGATTTCAAAATGCCACACAAACATTTTTATTTTTTTGTACTGAACTTCCGCAATGCATTTTTTCTTTCTGGTGAAAATCTAGAGTTAAGTGTCATTTCTAGTTATGTGCACATTCTTGTCATCCCTCTCCAAATCAATCCCCCGCAACTGACTTCAACTCCTTCCCCCTGAGCTTCTCTTCGACCATTTCCAGTTGCTTTGTCAGCTGGATCTCACAGAAGTCATTCTTTAAACGAGGAAAATGCTCAAGGAAAACTTGCCTAACTTAATGCGATAAACTGATTCTGATGTTCAAATCAGGCTTTAGGAGATAGTTTCTGTTTATAGATTTAAGATTCTCTCAGGGCAGTAATTTGGGGGCTTTATCCAGCCTCAGTGACTCCAGAAAGGCTATCAGATAACTGATGAAAAACAAAAGCAAAACCTTGTGGTAAGATAGCTGTTATTTCTGGTTGGTCCTGGGATTAAGTCCAAGTTATGTAGAGAAAGAAACACATAAAAATAGGAAATGACATTCCTTGGGAGAAAAGAAAAACAACAAACAAAAATATGCATAAAAGTGGCTTGGACTGCTCCTCCTTTGCCTCCTTAAGGGGGCATTTAAGGAGGAGAGACAAAGTAGAGGCAAAGATCCTTCATTGCCTCCTTATTAAAAGCTTTTCCTCTCAATAAGTGCAGAGAAGGTGTGAATTCTGAATATTATGTACAGCAATTTGGTAAAAGTTTAAATGATCGCAACTAAAATCAGTATACAGTAAAATTATATAAATATTTCTTAATCTAAGGTTGATTCTCTTCTGTATAAAACTAAAAACTAAAGAAGAATCTATTGAATTAATAAATGATAAATACATTCCACTAACTTTGAAGCCTCTTTGTGTGTATATACACATACATACATATACATGTATGTATGTGTAAGCAGGCACATATACATCTGTATCTATCTACGTAGATATAGACAGACAGACAGACAGACAGATAGGAGTTGTAGTAGCACTATGGGTTAAGCACTGGACTGTTAACCATAAGCCATTGGGAAACCCACCAGCCACTCTGGTGAAGAAAGACGAGGCTGTCTGCTTCCTTTTTTTTTTTTTTAATTTTTTTGAGGCTGTCTGCTTCTATGAAGATTTACAATCTCAGAAATTCTAAGGAGTAATTCTGCTGTCCTAGAGGATCCCTATGAATTGGAATTGACTCAACAGCAGTAGGGCTTTAGGGTCGGGTAACACAGACACAAAGACACACTGACACAAACACACACAAGTGCTTCTAAAATAAGTTTGTGGGAAAAATTCCATCAGCTTTTAATTCTACTTTTCCATGAACTTTTTGAAGTCCCTTTGCATATGTCAATGTGCATGACCCCAATGATACAGGACGAAAAGGCGATGGCGTCTCTACACAGAAAATATTCATGGCACTCTTAACATTGAATATAATATGCCATATACAATACGCATATTGAGTACAAAAATATAACAAGAGAAGGAGGGAGTACAGTTGTAGGAGTACTGATATAATAATTTTGTCTTTAAAATTAAGCTAGGGATGCTTTCCTGATAAACAGGAATAGTAAAGCCCTGTAATACAAATAAGCAAATATGAAATAAGAAGATGAAGGTAGCATGGTAGCTCAGCTGGAGAGAAATAATATGGACTAGAGCGGGAAGGAATGCTTTCAGCCAAGCTGAAAGCAAGTGACCAGGCCAAATAAATAAACCAAGGCACGAGTACTGGGTCCTAATCTTCACATTGCAATACATAAGAGAGAAAAGAAAGCAAAAATGCTTATTTCCTTTAATGGGAGAATACATTTTAATATAAAATCAAATCTAATGTTTTACATTGGTTGGTAACCTCAAACCTAATGGTACCCTTCCAGGACTCATCTTCCTTACTAGTAAGATAAAACTGTAACAACATCACTGGTGCCTCCACGAGTACCCTTTAAAGTCCATGGATTCCTGTTCCGATGAACCAAACTTAAACAGCATTGTTCATTCTATAAGATTGCTTTTTAGTCTGGGCGTGAATACAATGATTACATCATTTCAGCATTCCAAATTCTAAAAACAGATGTCAAGAAGTGCCCCTCTAAGCAGCTTACTTATGGTTATGCAGGGGTGCCCAATACAACTGTTATACAGAAAATCCTGTAATCATTATTGAGCTGCCCAAAACTCTTCTGATGAATAAGGAAAGTAGAATAATGATGAAGAAAAATATATAATCCTGTATATTCACTCACTTCTAAAAGCCTCTGACTCATTCTGTTCACTTCTATGTTTTAAGAATTCACTTTCTAAATGAATTGCAGATTATGTGGTATGAAATTATCATTCAAGTTCTCCCTCCCTGCTGCATCAGGTATGCTTCCACAAATTTAGTAACTTACCGCCCGAGCTGAGTCACCAAAGTCTATCTTCAACCTCCCCATGGCTCGAATGATGGCAATAATTGACTGGATAGTGTTGCTGTAGACCACTGCTTTGTATTGTTTGCATTCCTCTTCCGAATAACCAGCTTCGTGGATAATTCTAAGGAGGGGAAAGGGAGAATAAAAAATAAATATGTTTACTTTCTTTGATGGGAGGATACATTTCAATATAAATATCAATGTTAATGTTTTAAATTTACTTACTTCATTTGCTTTACAATTGTACTTTTCCCAGATTCACCGGCACCTAAAAATGTAGAATAAGGCATTCTTAGCAACTTCACATAGGTATATCTACTCCCTTCCCAGGAAAAAACACACATTATTTCTTGCATAGTTGAATTTTATTTTCTATCAAAATACAGTTTATTAGTTTCAGATATACAGGTTATCCTCAAAATGAATCATATTTGTGAAAAATTACTTCATGATATGTAAATTAAATAAGCTTAATTGAAAACAAATGTTTTCATTATTTGTATAGATTCCCTAAAGCTTTAAAAATTCAATTTTCTGTAATTAAATTGAAAAATTATAAATTAATTTTTTTTATTTTTTTCCCAAGTAGAAGAAGTTCAACTGGTCAGCCAATTATTATAATATTAAACTTTGGGTCATATGAAGTAGAAGACAGTGATACCAAAAAACCCCATGAAAAGTAATTTAAAAATATTTCGTGTTAAAATAGCTGTATCTCACATAATATTTATTCAACAACCATTGTTTTCAGACCTAAAACCAGAATCAGCACTATTTGTTAACAAGGGGACTACAGTGGTATGCTCCACAGAAAGGTCTCCTCTTGAGTTTCTTTACCTTCGGCCACCCAAGTCACAAATCTGGGACCCATTCTCAAATTTCCTTCTTCACTTTCCATGTATTCAGGGACCCTTCATGATTTGAGTCCCCAGAGTTAAGCCATCTTAACATAGAAATGAAGAATCTTGGTAGCTTAATGGTTACGCACATGGCTGCTAACCAAAAGGTTGGCAGTTCAAACCTGCCCCATTGTTCCGTGAAAGAACAACCTGATATGCTTCAGGTACTATTACAGCCAAGACAACCCTATGAGATTGTTCTCTGCTGTCATACCAAATCTCTATGGGTCAAAATCAACTGAATGTTACCCAATAGCAATATGAGACTATTACTAACGAAACCGCTGCTGATGAATGCAGGTCCCACTTTAATATTCATCCCACCTAAAAGCGGCCTCCAAATGAAGTCTTTTCCAGACTCCTCCTCCTGATTGCAGGTTACTGTGAATATCTCAGGGTAGACTATAAAACCAAAGAGGCTGTGACCGGTCCATCATCTGGTTTCCTGCTCCCGTTCACCAAGACTTCACATCCTGTTTGAGAGTCACGGCTCAGGATTCTAAACACTCAGCGCTGGTATTCCTATTTCCCCAAGGCCATCCGCCAGGCTTTATTGACGTTATGGCTTATTGAACCATCTGCAGTTCCAAGAACGCCTACTGCTGACCACACCACATACTCCCAAACATACCATTTTCCTTGCGTTCACTTCTCCATTGTCCAAACGCGATTTCTTCCTCTTGATCTACTAGTCTGGTGATACTCTTTATCAATCATCAAAATTTATCTCCTTCGCCACATGTTCCTGACTCACTGTAGATGTAATCCATGGACCATTTCTCCTTGGATTCTCAACAGCCACCTTGTGCTACACACAGTCAACCATCTAGAATTACTTGAACTTCTGCTTATTATCTGTGACTAATACAATTAGACAGTAAACTTCTGTGCTTCACCTCTCCATTCCTCCCTATCTGCCTACAGATAGACACGTAAACCGTGAAAGAGGTCTGAGAACAGGTCATTTGAGTAAATCACCTATTTAAATTGGGCAGAGGGGTGGACAGTAGAATGCCTGAATTTAATTTGTGATTTAGTAATCAAGAATTTTTCCCAAGAAACCCTCACATTAAGTAGAAAAGAAGGAACTGAATAAACACCGAGGACTTTCTGCATTTACAAACAATTGTTGAATCTCTCAAGGCATCAGCCAATAAAAACAATTCCAAGATAAGCACCACATACTTATTAATCGATAACAGTGTACTCGGCTCTGTCAGAAGCACAATCACAGGCTGTATGGCTCACACATTGGTCCAATTCAGGAGTGGTTAACCCAAATAACATATCCTAGGCAGTTTCTGTCTGGTTAGTCCCCTGTACACTCCACCGTGGGACATCTAGAGGAGTACAAGTAGACGCGGCAGCTGCCATACACAGAGTTACTGAATCCATAGAGAAGGCCCATTCTTCTGATGAAGCAAGTCAGTGGCCGAAGGCAGACTAAATGACATAATATTTGAGAGGCACGTAAAGGAAGAAGCAGAAAGAGTAAGAATTAAGGTTGCTAGCAACTGAACTATGTGTATGGGATTAAAATTTTTAGAAACCCTATTAAGGAAGATTCAAATTGTCCTTGTGCTAGACATGATCTTTAAATTCTAATTTACTTTATATCTCTTAATCACCCTGGTAACATGGAACACTTAGTTTGGTTTTCAATGTGCATGTAGTAGATGATTTGTGTTTCAAAAAACTCCAGAAACCTGGTTGACACTAAAGAGTGAGTCATAATGTGATGCTGACAGAATAAAGTTAGAAAACACAGGGGGCACAGAGGATTAGGCAAGGGAAGAAGGGTACATTTTTCTAGCATGGTGGCACAGTGGTTAAGTTCTTGATTGCTAACTGAAAGTTCACTGATCTGAATCCACCAGCCCCGCTGTGGGAGAGGGATGTGACAATTTGCTTCTACAGAGATGCACGGCCGTGGCAGCACTCTAAGGCAGCTCTGCTCTGTATACCTGGTCATTTGACTCCACATCAACTGGATGGCGGCGGTCATGGGGAGCGCAACTAGTCCGCTATTCCATTGCATTTAGGTCAAGTGGCAGGTATGATGTGCTTTTAAGTATACCCATCCTACCAACAACCGCTGCAATATAAAACAAAGAATATACAACACAGATCAAGCAGGAACGATCAAAGCTTCGCATTGGGCCAATGTGATAAGAGTTGTACGAGCCCCCAATAAAATGATGAAAGAAAAAAAGATCTCTGGTAAGGTATTCCAAAGCAAAGATGTCACTTTGAGGACTAAGGTGCACCTCATTAAAGTCCTGGTGTTCTCATTCGTTTCTTTATATTCATTTAAAAACTGGACAAAGAATAAGAAAGCTTTAAGAACAACGAGTACTTTGAATTATACGATGAATAAGAAAGACGAATGAGTATTTTGAGTTATGATATTGGGGAAAAGAAATGAGTTGCCAGAAGAATGAACAAGTCTGTTCTGAAAGAAATGCAGCCAGAATGGTCTTTGGAGGTGATGATGATGAAATCAGAAGAGTCATGTAAGAGAAATATCCTCAACCAAATGGATTGATGGGAACTACAACATCGGGTTTACACATAGCAAGTAGGGAGCAGGACTGGGTACTGCTGCCATCTGCTGTGCACTGGAACCAGCTGGCTGGCGCATAACAAAAACGATTAAGAAATAAGAACTTCTGAGTCAGTTGAATGACTCCTTCCACCACAATGGGTCTATGTACTGGCAGGGTCTACGTCTGAGTTTAGAGGTGCCTATGGCATTTAAGGGACACTGGCGACACTGTCAGTAACCCACGATAGAGATGAGTTTATCCACTCCTGTGAAGACGTACAGCCTTGGAAACCCTACACAGAGTCACAATGAGTCAGAACGGACTTGATGGGCATAGGCTTGCGCTTTAACATCTTGAAGGAGGAACCTTGGTGGTGCAGTGATTAAAGCTCTCTGCCGTAAACCGAAAAGACAGCAGTTAAAACCCACCTGATTCTCCTAGAGTCAAATGTGGAGGTCAGCTTATGTAAAGACGACAGCCACGTAGCAGTTCTGCTCTGTCCTATAGCATCTATATAATGGAATCAACTCAACGGCAATGTTTTTAATTTGGGGAGGAAGACACTAAAGGAAGTGCCAAATATTACCTGTCTTGGGGGACTCCATTCATCCATCACCCTGGTTTGGCTCCGTCACCCAAATACCTCCCACCAAAGGCACAGTCATCTACTGACAGTTGGTTAATCCATCACGTTGAATACAAGCTATCACACCTCCCACCCCCACCCCCAAGAGTGATCTAGACTAAACTAATCCAGTTCTTTCCTTGATCATCTGTGTAAAATCCATCAGGAAATGTCACATCACGACAATAGTGTTAACTTCCGGTTTGCAGGAGTCATCTCCATGATCACCTCATGGAAGACACTAAAACGGTGAGGCCACAGCAGAGGGAAGCAGGCAGTCTATAGAACTGGGTCTCTCACTACTTGACACTTTTCGCGTTAGTTATGATGGAGATTTGAGCATTCAGCCAGAAGGGAGGGATAATCTAGTAAGTGCCATATTTGTCTGGGTAATATTTGGGAAACATGTCCTCTGTATATAATTTATGTAGAAAGACCTTTTGTACAGATTGAAAAAAATATTTTCCAAAAAAAATTAATTTTTTTATTTTTGTTTTACTAGTGCCACAAATGTGCGAGTGGTAACTCATTTGTCCAGTTCAAGATAAACTCTGTAGTTTTGTTTCCTAAAACTTGTTGTTAAAATGCCAAGACATTTGTGACTTTTGGGGAATAAAAGGTGTCACAGCATGAACCATTAAAGACTTGGGCAGAGCATACACTATATATCACCATGGTTATAACTAATGACAATCATACCTCCATTTCCAATCCATGAGAACCATTTAAGAGTTTGCTTTCTACCACATGAACCCAAAAGAGTTTGACTCATCTATGTGCTCAATAATATTACATTAATTAACTTTGAGTTAATAAGGGAAAAAAAGGTTATTAATGATGCATTTGCATCAAAATGAAGGTCATATTAAAAACACTGCTTCACAAAAGAAAGTTATAGAAGTTTAATGAGAAAAAAAAAGGTTCAAAGTAATTAGTCATTGTACAGGCCAGTGCAGGAGTATCTTAAATTTAAAAGAATCATAATGCACTATAAAAATATTTTTTAAAGAAATTATTATTGTTAATTGTGTGGGTATAATGATGGAATTATTGTTATTTTTTAAGGAAGTTGACTTTTGAGATATATACTAAAATATTTACATATGAAATGATGTTGGAGCCTAGAAGTTGCTTCATAAAAATCCACCAGAAGGCAGAAGAGAAAGTGGAAGTATAAATGATCTGAGCTAGATAGTGA